ACACGATTTCTTTGCTGCACGTAATTTACCGTATGGTGTCAATCCATCACCACCGCCACCGCCACCAAATCGAGAAGCTGCACAAGATTTCTTTGCTTCTCGTAATTTACCATATGGTGTCAATCCAACGTCACCACCACCGCCACCATTACCACAAAATCGAGAAGCTGCACAAGATTTCTTTGCTGCACGTAATCTGCCATATGGCGTTAATCCAGGAAATTCGGCAGTATCAAACGCCTGGAATCGAGCAGATTATGCAGCTCATCATCCACCACCACCACCACCAATGCCTATGAACAATACTTGGAATCAAATGCCACAAGGTCCACCTCAACGTCCAAATACTTCTTTTCCATATCCACCATTTGGTGTACCATCACGAGGTCCCAGTTATGTTCCTCCTCCTTCATCATTCGGCACATTACTTTCTCAAGCACACAGACAACATTTGCCTTTTGCAGGTGCTGCTTGATTTCTTTATCTATTAACTATTCAAGCGTAGTAAAATAAAATAAAAGTGTTCTTTCCGAATTGATTTTAAACAAAATATTTCATCTGTATTATAAATTTATTGAATAAGTTGTGGTATAATTAGTTATGCAAATTTCTGATATTTTATTTTTCACGCAAAAAAAATGAATAGAATCCGCATACTGAAACTAAAGAAAAATTAATATAATCAAATCTTTGGTTTGAGTAATGTTAAATAACCAGTAACACAACCAACTGTTGTTTTTGATTTAGTTTCAAAAAATATGACTTTAAAACGATATTGTCCCGTTGTAACTGGTTTAACAAGTTTAGCACTCTTCTCACGCTTTATATTAATAGGAACATGTTCAATAGTGTATATACCAATATCGAGATCGCAGGAACATGAAGTTTAGTATTCTGATTATTTTTACGAATAAAACCATTAGTTTTACATGCTTGTTTAATAAGATCACATAATGATTGTTTATCACATGCACCTATACCAGCTAAGCATGGAAGATCGATCCAAGCTAAACCAAATTTTCGTTCGACTTTTGTTGAAAATTGTATATCAGCTGAAAGCTTTTTTGTTACATTTATTGAAAGTGATAGATCAAGAATACCGGGAATAGATAATTGATCATTCCAAATATTAAATGATATAACTCTAATAGAAAATGAAGATAATTTTTTTGAATCTTTCAAACAATTAAGATCCACATCATTCATTTGTACTGTATACATTGCGCCATAGATTTGATGAATTAATAGCAATAAAATGAATATAAACATTATGTGATAGTTAACTTATTCTCCTGTATTATAATAGTAATAGTGTTAACAAACTATTTCTTACTCGTCTGTTTTCTATTTTGACGAAGTATACCAGTAATGAGTTTGTATGTTTCTAAAATAAATATATACAGAAGACATAGAATAGATTAGGAAATATTAGTCAATTGTGTATAAACGGAAAAACTTACAGAATTACAAGAAAAATATGAATAGAACTCAGCTTAAACTTTTCTTCCTTAATATTCATGTACTAATACATACTATTCTATCATTAAAGCAAACGAACATAATGTGTTTTTACATAAGTTTGTAATTTTATTCTTAGCGATGTTTATTGAAAGTAATAAGAGACAGTAGTATTACAACAACATTGAATTGATATTGAAAATGCTAAAACTGTTATCATCGTTGATATATACTTTTGCTTACTGATGTAACCTATACTCTATTTATAAAAATATAAATACAAGTATAATGAACGATATATATATAAAACTAACCTCATTATTGCATTTGATTATTTTTCAGGAATGAAGTTTTGGCCAAATAATAACATTACGATAGAGTTTTTAACCTCATATATAATAATAACTAATCAATCATAATCACTACAAAAATGTGATATATCTTGCAATCTGATTATCTACAATAGAGACTTTATAGAAGAAAATGTAGAAGTTAAGATGTTTTTGTTTTTGAACTATTAGCATGATTATTAAAGTATTGTTGGCTAGAGCCATCTATTGTATATTATATTCTCGAGTTAAACGAATAGGAAAAGAAGTAAACGAATATATGTACATCTCTACTATTGATCATTTATTTGAATGAATTATTTCGTAACTAAATTCTAAAACTTGTCTTTCATTATATTTTAGATCGATCAAAATGGTTCAAACACGAAAACGTAAACGTGGTAAAGTTTATTTACATTCAATCAATCGTAAAAAATTATGGATAAAAGAAAAAAAGAAACGTGAAGTACATGTACGTAATTTTCCATTGATAAGTTCAAATTGGGAAACAAAATTATCAGTACCAACAAATTATCATGAATTTGCACTTGCTCATGATATAAACAAAACTTTTCCCATATCTAAAACAATAGATATGATTAATCCAAAAATTGTTGAAAGACATATCAAACGAAAACAAGAACATCTTGATGATGATGGTGATGATGATGAAGATAATATACCATCAATAGCAATGATTGATTCATCAACAAAGAAGAAAAGACGTCGACCAACTAAAGTTCATATTCGTGATGAACTTGAAAAAGATGCAAATGCAGAACGTGTTAAATCATTGAGAATATCCGATCCAGAGCGATTGTAAGTTTTGTTTAATATCAATAAAACTGAATGATTTAGAAATATTTTTCCTTTTTCTTAATTTAGATTTTGTATTTATATGATTGAAAAACATGGTACAAATTATGATGCAATGGCTCGTGATCATCACAATGATTATCAACTAACAGCACGACAATTGGAAAGAAAAGTTGAAAAATTTCAAAAGATTCCTAAAGTTTACCAACGTTATTTAGCTGAAAAAGCTGAAGGAAGAAATTTTTTAGCTGAATTTCAAATGAACGATTAAGAAAAGAATAAAGCTAATTGAATAAATAAATAAAAAAAGAAAAAAAGAAAACAATATTTTGCTTTCTTGTTGTTGTTATTTCTACTTGTTTATTTCAGATGTCATGTATTGTTCTTCAACTTGGTCAATGTGGAAATCAAGTTGGCCAACGTCTATTTGATACATTAATTGAAGATAATCTTACACATCCAAATCAAACAAAATTAACAGTTACAAATCGTTCATCGATTGATGATTACATTCGTGATTCACTTGATAAATTTTTTATTCAACATGAAAATAAACTTACTGCACGTGCACTTGCTATTGATACAGAACTTAAAGTTATTGAACAATTAATGGATGAAAAAGCTCAATCAAAACGACATTGGCATTATGAAAAAAAATGTGTTATCGAAGGTAGATTTCACGCTAGAATAGAATATTAGTAGAGAAGCAAGTTTTTGTCTTATAATTGATTAGAAAGATATTACGAATGACAAAAAAAACACCCATTGAGATTCTTATGTTATAGTTTATTCATAATTTAAAAAAGGTCGTCTCGGATCTGGTAATAATTGGGCATGTGGTTATCGAAATGGTTCTATAGCTGAAGAAAAGATTCTAAATAGTCTTCGATGGCAATTAGAACAAGCTGATCGTGTTGATACAATTTTACCCATTTTATCTTTAGCTGGTGGAACAGGTTAGATTTAAAGAAAAAACTTTTCTATTTCAAACTATATCATTTATTTAGGTTCGGGTCTTGGTGCGTATGCTGTGGAAATTGTTCGTGATGAATTACCACGTTCATTTCTTTTAACAACAATTATTGTTCCATATACAAGTGGTGAAGTTGTTGTACAAAATTATAATTCATTATTAACATTATCACATCTTTACCATTCTGCAGATGCATTATTAGTTTTTGAAAATGATATCTTACAACAATATGCAAAAAAACTTGTTTCACATTCTGGTCTTGATCGTGCAACAAATATTCATGATATGAATAATATTCTAACACGACATTTATGTAGTATTCTTCAACCCATTTCAACGAAAACAAAATCTACATATGATATTAATAATTTACTTGAACAACTTTTACCACATCCATTTTATAAATTATTAACACTTCGTTGTGTACCACAATTAAGTGATCAAGCATTAGATTTTAGTACATATAAATGGTCATCATTAATAAAAACTTTATCACAAATGTATATTAATAATTCTTATTTAGATGAAGGACTTAATTGGTCATTAAAACCTTTTCAAACACGAACAAAATCTTTAGCAAATATATTCCTATCACGTTCATATGATAAAGAAGATATTGAAAATGATTTAAAACAATATTTTAATCATTCATCATTTTATTCATCATCGATTTCATCAACAGAGTATTATCATTCATTTAATTATCGTAATAAATCGTATTTAAATTATGAAAAATATTTATCATTTCTAAGTAATTGTCAAACACCTGTATCATCACTTGATAGAATAGTAAATAAATCATGGCAATTATATGGACAAAAAGCTTATCTTCATCATTATATGAAATATGATATTGATGAACAAACATTTCTCAATAGTTTTGTACAAATTGAACAAGTTATTAAATCTTATAATCAATTGTAAAATTTTCCTTTTTTATCAGATAGATTTTATGAATGTAACTATTCCAATGAGTTTATTTTACGGAAATAAAATAAAGAGAATTAAATTATTTCACAGTAATCCTATTCGTTTGTTGGAATTTATATTTTTGTAATATCTCTGTACGAGAATTGATCAAGATTCATTTTTGTCTTTTCCACTTAACGTATGTCTTCAGAAAAGAAATTTATTATAAATGAACTAAAATAGCTAATCAATCTAGGAATGATCTTTTATAGTATATGAAAGAATACTAAGATGATTCTACAAAAGCTAACGAATACATTACAAGATTTTAGCGAAAATCTATATCATCTTCGATTGATTATTTATGAAATACAAATAAAAATGAAGAGTAGCATTAAAAAATAACTATTTTATTTATTTCACCAATTTGGCCATAAATAATTCAAAAATTTTATTGTCATTTCATAACCAAGAAAACATGCGGCATTTGCTGGAAAGGCTCGTAACATAACGGGTGTAAAGCCTTTATAAAGTGATCGAATACCTTCTGTACGAATTAATTCTCGTAACACATCAGAAACACCCGAATATTTGCCGGCAGGAGCTATTCAATACGTCAAATATAATTACAAATATTTATATATAAATAATTTTAACTAACCTGTTTGGAATCTTGATTTAAGTACATCAGGAGGAATAGCTACAACCCAGTTAGCAACACCAGCCATTCCACCTGCAAATAATGTTTTCAATGCACTTAATTCACTTGTACTATTTAAAAGTAAAAAGATTTCTGTGTATATATATATATTTAGATATATTGTATGTATACTTACGAATGTCCTTCTGGTGTTAATGCCTTCTTTAAATATTCATATGAAGCAAAATAAACACCTGTCGCAGGTACATCTAAATATTAAATTTTTTAATATTTTAATAATAGATCATATAGAAGTAAAATTATACCTCTCATAAGTGTTAAAGCTGTTC